CTCTCTGCTTAGTCTTGGGGGACTGGGGCCAAGATAGGCAGGGCTGGCCTAGGCAGGTTCACCTACAGGTCCCCCAATTGCCAGCATAAGCACCAAAACTGAGGAAGAATTCAGTGGGTGGGCACCAAGCACCCACAAATGTGTCTAAATGTGGATCTAGGAAGCCTTTCTGGCCCCATGTTCTCTCCACTGGGATGGTGGCTGGTCTAAACTCCTAATTTTAGAATAGTGAGTGCTCCAGATGCCTGGAGATCTGCCTGTATATCAAGGATACAGTCCCCTCCATGCACCAGGATTTCTGCACGGGAAGTGTGGGGTAGCTCAGGCCACTATTTGAGGCAAACAGGTGCTCTAGATGCCTAGAGATGGGCCTGGGTTGGAGTAGAGAGGGCCTCTATGCAAGAAGATTTCTGCATAGGAAGAGTAGGGTGAGAGAGGCTGCCAGTCCCAGTGAGTATGTGCTCTGAATGCCTGGATCTCTGCCTGGGCTCACTGCACCACGATGCCGTGAGAACCTCACTGCACCATGATGTAAGCTCAGGAAGAGTGGGGCATATGAGACTGATGAACCAGATGAAAGATTACTCCAAATACTTGGAGGTCTGCCTGGGCATGAAGCAGAAAGCTCCTCCCTGAGCCATGATCTATGATCTATGTCTAGGAAGGGTGGAGAAGATGAGGCTGTCATCCAGGCAAGCAAGTGCTCTAGATGCCTGGAGGTATGCCTGGACATGGAACAGAGAGAACCCTACTCACTGCGATCTACATCCAGGAAGGTTGGGGTGAGTTGGGCTAATACAGCTGAGTGGTTGCTTCAAATGCCTGGAGATCTGCCTAAGCATGGAGCAAAGAGGGCCCCACTATACCTTGATTTATGTCCAGGAGGAGTGGGGCACCTCAGGCTGATGGTCTAGGCAAATGATGCTCCAAATGCCTGAATTTCAGCCTGGGGTTAGAGCAGAGGGGGTCTTGATGCACCACTATCTCAGGGAAGCAGGCTGGTAAACCAGTAATAGCACATGCAGACTAGGTCAGCACAAGCTAACCCTGGTGGCAAGTCTTGTTGCCCAGCCAAAATTGCAGCTGTAGCAGCTCCCTTTTGCCCTAGGTTTCTGATGAGGGAGAGCAGAATTCAAAGACACATTTCATGTTAGTTTGTCTGTTCTTATAATACTATATTTTATTCTATATTAAATGAGAATGAAAATAGTAAATAATGACTCAATGTAGTATCAATTAAATATTGTAATGAAAATGCTTACACAAGTTATCGACAAAAACAGACACTAAATAAATATTGGCAATTATTATTTGCTTGGTCCTCACTGAATTTTCAACTTCTGTTCTTTCCTCTAGGCCCAGTCTTGCTTACATTCTGTTTAAAACTGGGTTAACCTAGCAGTAGTGTGCTATTCATTTGAGAACATAGAAAATAGGAATACACATTCAGTGTATTCAGTATTCAGTACAAATAATTCCTAATCCTAAACACAGAAATTTACGATAAATTATACTTAATAAACACCACAAATCATGCCAAACCCAGCCTTATTTTTGTTCCCTATCATGACACTAGGGAGACATCTGGCTCTTGAATAGCTCAGTGACACTGACATTTCTGGCTTAGAATTCATTTCCATTAAAAATCATGTTCATATTATTTAAAATAATACGCTGTGACTTTTGGGATCAGCAAAATTATTACTGGTTAAATACAAAAGCGAGCCCATAAATATGCAAAATAAAATTAATATTATTTTTACATGGCAATCCTTTATGATATTTCCATGGCATATAATTTAGAAGCAGAGGACATGTTCTAACAGAAGGAAAGGGTGCCCTCTTGTGTTTTAGTTAAAAGTGAACAATTTGCTAACATATCTCTCCAACTTATATTTATTAGATTCTCAACTGAAAATAGTTTATAGAATAAAGATTAGACTAAGAAAAAAAGAAAGAAAAAATGAAAGCTACTAGTAGTATAAGGTGTTAAGAAAGCATACTGTATTTATGATGCATTCTTCTTGAGTTTAAATGTAGAAAAGTGTTGGATGAAATATTGTCAATCGATGATCATCTCCTTTTCTATCACCTAATGAAATACAGTTAATGTATCTGTGGAGTTTGCCTCAAGCTTGGAATTGCTAAACATTTATAATAATATTACAGATGTCATTGTCTAAAAATATGTAGATATGAAAATTTTATCACAAAATTTTGATTGTATACATTTCCTTCAAACTGATTTTTTCAATATTTTTAGTAATAATTTTAGCCAGATTAAATTAGAACACAATATAAATTACTCTTTATGCATTTAAAATATTTCACCAGATATTTCATGCATTTCTATGTCCCATCTTATTCGAATCAATAATAATATAATGTATTGTCTATTTTCTCCCTAAATTGAATATATTTCTCTGCAGTTTTCTCCAGAGGGATTTGCAGAGACAGGATGCTATGAAATTACCTCTCCCATGCCCTCCTCAGTACTAAGGCTGAGGTACCTGTCTATATCAAAAGATGATTAGTACAAATCAGATGACTTAGCCGGGTGATTCTTTACACCATCTCCTATTATGAGTTGAATTGTCCCTTTCCCCAAATTCATATATTGAGTTTCTAACATTCAGCTTCTCATTTAAAGATAAGATTTTTTAAAAGGTGATTAAAGTAAAATGAGGTCACTGATGTGGGCCTAGTCCAATAGGACTGGTATTCTTAGAAGAAAAAAAGATTATGACACAGACAGAAGAAAGACCATGTAAAGGCACAAGGAGAAGACAGCCATTTACAAGCCAAGAAGCGAAGTCTCTGAAGAAACCAACCCTGCTGACACCTTGCTCTTGGACTTCTGGCCTCCAGATCTATGAAGAAGTAAATTTTTGTTTTTCAAGCAACCTGAATTGGTTTACTTTCAAATGGCAGCCCCAGCAAACTGATAGGTCCGCAGAGTTCTTTTTCTTTCCACAATGTAAAAGTTTTAAATTCATTTTTTCAGAAAGCATTACTTCCACCTCAATTTTGAGCTCCAATAAACAAAATTTAAACATCAAATGGTGATAAACAGTATAAACTTGCATCTAATACATGATAAACTAATATTAGCAATAACTTTTTTTTTTATTGTACTTTAAGTTCTAGGGTACATGTGCAAAATGTGCAGGTTTGTTACGTGTGTATACATGTGCCATGTTGGTGTGCTGCACCCATCAACTCATCAGCACCCATCAACTCGTCATTTACATCAGGTATAACTCCCAATGTCATCCCTCCCCCCTCCCCGCTCCCCACAATAGGCCCCAGTGTGTGATGTTCCCCTTCCCGTCTGGGGCGCAATCAGTTAGCGCGCGGTACTTATAAGCAATAACTTTTATTAGCTGGGTCAATGGCTTGCTCTTTCTTCACCATTAAAATGTCCCTACTATATCTTCTTTTCTCCTGTTTTCTTCAAAGCCAGACAAATTGGCTCCACTTTCCAGCAAAACAGTAGGTCCATCTGTCAGTAGAGTACAAAAAGAACAGAAAATCCCATACCTCTGACTGTATTAATCCGTAGCTACATGCAATTTTCACAGTCAATCTCAGTGTGCACATGTAACAACTCACATCTCACTTGCACTTATAACTATAAATCATGGTGTCAGGGGAAGCAGGCACGAGTAAACCAAAACAGATAAAGATATGTACTCACACACAAATTAACATTCAAAAATAACTTTTTGATTACATAGTTCATAATTTATAAAATTCTTTACTCAGTTTTGATTGTAAAACATAGGGATATCTCAAATAAATTGAGCTCTCTAAATTTCTTAAGTCAGTATTTTAAAATACATTATATTAACTGTATGGGAAGTAAAATAGAAGTATTCAATATTTACTCATTCATTCTCCTATTAATTTGTCATATTTTCAAACCAAAATTATTGAACACCTAATCTCTGCTTTACATTAGTAAACAAAAATAGTTAAGTCAAGGAATTATCATTGGGTTGGTCTTAGAGAAAAGCAAAAGAAGTGTAGTCCTTGGTCAGGTAACTCTCTGATGTAAAATGTATTTTCTGCCTATGTGTTTATCATTCTGTCTGTATGTGTATTTCCCTAACTGGTTGTAGCCATAACATTAGGTAACATGTATAAAATGCTTAGGAATGTTCCTGGCACAAATTAAGTATTTGATAAACTAAGACAGTTAACTCATTAGCGTATATAAATTCCACTTTCTACATCCATGAGAAAAAGAAAAATGTATTTATTTGATATGGGCGTTGTCGGGATTGAATGAGATAATGCATGTAGCCCAAATTTTATATATACAGTTTAATTAATACTAACCCCACCCCCTAAAAAACTGCATATGATATGAGCGTAGGATGATTTCCACAAATTATGTTAACATTAACTGAAAAATTATTCATTTAATTCTCCTTTGCAATTGATAAACTCTGAAGTCTCAAATATACTTTGAATATAAACAACACTGATTTATCAAGCTTTCTGATTATCCTATGGGATGAGAGCTCTATCTAATCCTTTAGAAAAGTGAAACTTTGAAAAAGTGTCTAATTAGTGGTGAAATGGTATTTTGACAAGACAAATTATTTCTTTTTTTGAGGTAAATTTTAATGCTGAATCAGTAGATTTATTGCATTGATTTTTTATGAGTAAAATTATTACATTCAAACTCATGCACAGAGTATTTTACTGAATGACATTCTGCAGTAAGACCTGTCATGAATATTGCTGAGAGACACAGAGTATAATTCCTACTTGAAACTTAAATTATAAACCTCTCAAGGATCTTCTCAAAATATTTCTAAAGTATATTACACTGATTGTCACTGTTAAATACTTTTTTATTTGTGTGTATGTGTAAGGGTTGCTTTAAAACTAATTTCAGAATAAATGAAAACCAGCACAAAGAAGGCTAATCATGAAATCACTTTTACCTTAAAAGTTTTCATAGTTTTTTTCTCTTTTTTTTTTTTCTCAAGTTGGCTGACTACGGATGTTGGATGCTAGCTCTCCTCAGAAAGATCAAAGTTACAGGCGAATGGCCATGATTTAAATGGAAATCTGAGGGAATGGAGCAAGGACCTGTTGGAGCATCCATGGGAACAACCTGGGGCACAAAAGAGGAAAGCAGCAAGAGACTGGCAAAGATTGTCTCCCTAGAAACCTGGACCATGAAAAGGGTAAGTCATGGCTTCTCTTGTCTCCTCACCTGTGTGACAATCTGATCTCCTCCAAAGTGTTGGGGAGCCCCTCTGCTCTCACAATCCAGACAAGGATGTTAGTGGTGATGGGACCTTGCTAAGGACAATAAATTGGGTGGTCAGTTCGTGCAGGTATTCCCATACACAAATTGAATTGGCAGGTGCCACACTGGTTGTACATGTACTATAGGCCACTGTTCTCCCCAGGGGACTTCAGCCCTTAGGTTGCCACATCACCAGATACCTCACAAACATAGCCCATGACCTGCTCTGACTTTGACAACCATATGGTGCCAGCAGATCCCTGAGGAGCTGTGGGTTCCTTAAAGATCTAGCCCTCAGTGTGGGCTGCCTTTAGGGAAGAGGGCAGCACAGCCCTCCAATCTGCCCTTGGGACAAAGGAAACATGGACATGGAGTCAATTGATGAAGGGGGTGGAATTGACTGCTGGAAATAGAAATGAGAAAGAGGTTATCTCCTGTTGCCCCCATCCACTGTTGCAGACACAACAGAGTGAAGGGTTGGGCCCATCTCCTGCTCATTACATAACGCAGTACTATCCTGGCCATAAAGGGCAGACAAATCACAGAACTGTTTGTCTGCTCTGGACTGGGGGAAGAGGCTTAGCCCTGAAACCTATTTTGTAGTAGCCACCAGAAGGGAATTTCTTTGGTTCTTCGTCACAGATAGGAGGCAGAGGACAATGATTATATGAACTAAAGGTCACAAACCCTGCAACAGGGCCCTGATATGAAAGCAGAGCATGTTCCTACTTGCCCAGGATAAGCAGCTAGTGCAGTGCCTCAACCCTGCTCCCAAGATCTCAGCATACCCCAATATGCTTATTCCCTTCTTCTCCTATTAAGGTAGGTTCCTCCCCTCATTAACAGGGTCCTGGAGAGTGGGTGGCTTTTACTCTTAAGTGACACCTACTGCATGGAATACTGAATTGTACCACCAATAAAAAGCTGCTGTCAGAAGGGCCCAGTGCTAGTGAATGAGATAAGCTTTATGAGACCTGTGCAGTCTCAGCCCTGTAGAAGATAGTGCATCAGCTCATACGTCCAATACATCATTACAACAAGCAGCATGTGAGAAAACCACAACGGAGAGGGTATCCACAACAAAGAAACCTATATAGAGACATGGCCCCCTGAAAGCACCCAAAAATGAAGCCAAATAATCATACACAATACACACCACAGTCATATCCTCAAGGGAAAAAAGAATAAAATGTAGAAAATTCCGTTCAAATGATAGCAAATAAAAAAAATAAAAGCAACTGTTGCTTCAGATGAGAAGGAATCAGTGTGAAGACACTAACAGAACAAAAAACCTGAGTTTCAAGGTTTTTCAAGAAAAAATTGAAAATCAAAGCAAAGAATCCAGAAAAATGATTCAGGATATAAAAGATGAGATTGCTATATTTAACGGAAAAACAAGTAGAAATTCTGGAATTGAAAAATTTACTAAAGAAATTTCAAAATATGGTTGGAAGCTTTACTAATAGACTAGACCAAGCAGAAGAAAAATTTTCGGAGCTTGAAGATCAGTTTTTTGAATTAACCTAGTCAGACAAAAATAAAGAAAAAAATCGTTTTTAATTAAACTAAGCTTTAGAGACATATGGGATTACCTAAGTTGATGAAAGCTATGACCAAAGCTTATAAAACATTCCTGAGAGAGAAGAAAAAATAAGCAAATTGAAAAAAAAATATTTGAGAGAATAATTCAGGAAAATTTCCCTAGTCTTCCCAGAAAGGTAGACACCCAGATACAAGAAATTTAGAGAATACCTGTAAGATAATGTACAAGAAAAACTTCACCAAGACATATGATCATCTGACTATTCAAAGTCAACACTAAAGAAAAAATCTTAAAGGCAGCTAGATAAAAGGGTCAAATCACCTATAAAGGTACACCCATCACGGCTAACAGTGGATTTCCCAGCAGAAACCTTACATGCCAAAAGAGATTGTGAGCCTACTTTTAGACTCCTTAAAGAAAAATAATGCCAGCCAAAATTGTATATCCTGCCAAACTAAGCTTAATAAATAAATGAGTAATCAAGTCATTCCCATACAAGGAAATGCTAAGGGCAATTGTCACAACTAGACTGGCGCTACAAAAAATGCTCAGAGTAGTTCTAAATATGGAAATGAAAAGATGAACTTGCTACAACAAAAGCACTCATAAATACAAAGTACACATATCCTATAAAGCAAATACACTATTGAGACTACAAAGCAACTACCTAAAAATACTATGATAGGAACAAAACTTCACGTGTCAATATTAACTTTGAATGTAAATGGCCTAAATGCTCCACTTAAAAGATATAGACTGGCAAATTGGATAAAAGTAAAAACCCAATCATCTGCTGCCCTCAAAGGACCCCGAATGAATAATGACACCCACAAGCTCAAAGTAAGAGAAAAATATGTTATGCAAATGGAAAACCAAAAAGACCAGGCATTTTTATTTTTTACTGTATAAAACAGACTTTAAATCAACAACAGTAAAACAAAACACAACAAATCAAAGAAGGGTATTATATAATGATAGAAGGGTTAATTCAGCAAGAACATATAACTATCTTAAATATATACACAACCATCACCGGAGCACACAGATTTGTTAAAGAACCACTACTAGACCTAAGAAAAAGAGATAGATAGCTATATACTATAGTGTGGGAATTCAACACCCCAGTGACAACACTAAACAGATCATTGAAGTAGAAAACTAACAAAGAAATTCTGGACATAAATTAAACTCTTGACCAAATTGACCTAATATATAGCTATAGAACATTCTACTCACCAACTGCAGAATATACATTTTTCTCATGTATGCATGAAACATTCTCCAAAATTGACCATCTACTTGGTCACAAAGCAAGTCTCAATAAATTCAAAAGAATCAAAATCATATCGAGTATTTTCTTAGACAACAGTGTGGAAAAGTAGAAATCAATACAAAGAGGAACTCTCAAAACTACACAAGGACATGGAAAATAAGCAGGTTGCTCCTGACTGATTTTTGGGTGAATAACAAAATTGGGCAGAAATCAGAAAAAAAATTTGAAACAAATGAAAATATATACACAGCATATACACAGTAACCTCCAGGATACAGCAAAAGCAATGTTAAGAGGAATGTGCATAGTGCTAAATGTCTATATTAAGAAGCTGGAAAGATCTCACATTAACACAAAAAAAGTAACATTGCACTTCAAGGAACTAGAGAAACAAGAACAAACCAAAGCCAAAGGTAGCATAGGAAAATAAATAACAAAGATCAAGGCAGAACTTAATGAAATGGGACCAAATAAATCATACGATGTATCAACAAAATGTAAAGTTGGTTTTTTGAAAAGGTAGATGGAATTGGGTGTTCTGAAAGACGAGATGTAGTCAGCCAACAAGAAGACTTGGGGAAGAATCTCTCAGGTAGAGGGAGAACAAATAAAAGTCTTGAGGTGGGCATTCATGAGCGACTATGAAGGAAGAAACAGGAACCAGCACGCCTAAGAAGAAACAAAATTGATGGACCACTGCCTAGATTAATGAAGAACAAAAGAGAGAATATTTTAATAAGCTCCACCAGAAATGATACCCATGATGTTACAACTGATACCACAGACATATATGTAAGACTATCATTGAACACTATGTTCACTAACTAGAAAACCGGGAGAAAAAGGATAAATTGCTAGATACAACCTCCTATGATTGAATCAGGAAGAAATTTAAATCCTGAACATAACAATAATGAGCTATGAAGTTGAGTCAGTAATAACAAATCTACTCACTAAAAGAGCCCTGTATTGGATGGACTCATACCTGACTTCTACCAGCTATGCAAGAAAGGTTTAGTACCCATCTTACTGCAAGGGTTCAAAAAAATTGACAAAGAGAGACTTCCTGATACCAAAAATCTGGCAAGGACCCAAGAAAAAAAGAGGAAACCTCCGGCAGAAATCCCATATGAACAACCTCCAAAAATTTTCAACAAAATACTAGCAAACTGAATCCAGCAGCACTTCAAAAACATAATTCATCATAATCAAGTGTGTTTTATTCTGGGGTTGCAGGGGTGTTTTAATACAAATTAATAAATCTGATTCATCACTAAACAGAATTAAAAACAAAACCATATGATTATCTTAATAGACACAGAAAAAGCCTTTAGTAAAATCCAACATCCTTTCATGATAAAAACCTTCAATAAACTAGACATTGAAGAAACATAACTCAAAATAATAAAAGCCGTACATGACAAACCCACAGCCGGTATCACATTTAATGCGAAAATGTCAAAAGCATTTTCTCTAAGAATTGGAACAAGATAAAGATGTCCAGTCTCACCACTCCTGTTTAACATAGTACTGGAAGTATTAACCAGAGCAATCAGGCGAGAGGTAAAAATAAAAGGCATCCAAATTGGAAATGAGGAAGTCAAATTATCTCTGTTTACTGATGACTAGATCTACCTAGAAAACATTACGAATTCTTCCAAAAGCCTCCCAGACCTGATGAATAATTTCAGTAAACTTTCAGAAAACAAAATTAATGCACAGAAATCAGCTGTATTTATATACACCAAAAATGCTCAAGCTGAGAACCAAATCAAGAATATAATCCCATTTAAAGTAGCCACAATAATAATTCCAAGCAATTCATTTAACCAGGAGGTGAAAAACCTCTACATGGAAAACTACAAACACTGATTTAAAAAATTGTAAATGACACAGACAAATGGAAAAACATCCCATGCTCATGGATAGGAAGAATCAATATTATTAAAATAAATATATTGTTCAAAACAATCTAAAAATTCAAAGCTATTACTATCTAATTCCAATGCCATTGTCATTTCCAAATTAGTACTGAACATAGATGCATGACTGCCCTTCTTAATCTGAGTCATTTGCCAGTAATACTGTCATTCTTTTTACTTTCCCCTTATGCATTTTTTAAGCTTTAAATAAGACAAATTAATCCTGCTTGCTTTCCCCAAAAGCCATTATATGCAATATACTTGTGTATTTAGAATGATTATCCCGAGGAATTCCACCCGTTTTGTCTGCTAGTGACATTTTAAAACTCACTCTGAGTGTATCTTCTTGAGATTCTTTTACCCACCACAATTATTTCTCCACTCACTTGATTAAAAAAAAAAAAATAGAGAAAGTTAAGGACCTCACATTACTTAATATATTTACAGGCTTCATATATGAATGCATTCCCACTACTGGATTCCTACCTCTTACTTTGTCGTCTGTGCCCTTAGTATTTTGTGCAGACCCATGAAACTGTACTCTTTATTATCAGCACCAGACTTTTAATTGCCAAAAGGCAGATAGTCTTAATTTGCTTGTTCCACAACATATTAGTCCATTTTCATGCGTCTGATAATGACATACCTGAGACTGGGAAGAAAAAGAGATTTAATGAACATACAGTTCCACATGGCTGGGGAGGCCTCATATGGTGGAAGGCAAGGAGGAGCAAGTCACATCTTACATGGATGGTGGCAGGCAAAGAGAGAGAACTTGTGCAGATCTCATGAGATTTACTATCATAGGAAAGACCCACCCCGATGATTCAATTACCTCCCAGTGGGTCCCTCCTAGTACATGTGGGAATTGTGGGAATCACAATTCATGATGAGATTTTTGTGGAGATACAGCCAAACTATATCACTCAGTTTAACACAAAAGAAAATGAATAAGTACAGAAGAAAATAAATGGCAAAATGTATAAAGGGAAAATGCTGTGCTAATAATCTACTGTATCAACTTCATTGAATTAAATTTCTATGGAATAAATTATCTTTCCTAAGTACACAGCTTAGTGAGATTGACAAATGTGTGCAGTCAAGTTATCATGACCACAATCAAGATTTAGAATATTTTCATCATCTTAAAAACTTCCCTCATGCCCCTTTGTCATCAATATCTGTAGCCTCTTTTGATCTCAAATGCTGCTTTGTTTAACGTGATTATAGTTGGGTCTTTTCTAGGATTTCATATTAAGGAGAATATACAGTATATATTCTTTTTGGGCTTGGCTTATTTTACTTAGCATAATGTTTTTGAGATTCATCTATGTTGTGGTGTGTATTAGTAGTTTGTTTCATTTAACTGTTTAGTAGTGTTCCTTTGTATGGATATATCAAAGTTTACTTATCTACTGACCAGTTTTAGACAATTATGAATAATACT